TTTTTTTTTTTTTTGGCTGGGGCTGGGTTTGAACCTGCTACCTCCAGCACATGGGGCCACCACCCTACCCCTCTGAGCCACAGGCACTGCCCCCACACTAAATGTAAATTGTCTAAAGACCCCAATTAAAGACATAGGTTGCCAGATTGGATAAAAGAGCAAGCTCTAACTATATACTGTGTATAAGAAATGCCCTGGAAATGTAAAGTCACGAATAAATTAAAAGAATGGAAAAAAGATATACCATGCTAACATCAATCGATATTAATATTACACAAAGTAGATTTCAGAAAAAATAATATTACCAGGGATAAAGAGGGTGAATAGAACAAGAGGACATATTGTGCAACTAGTTGGCAGTTTCTGTTTTTTTTTTTTTTGAGACTGAGCCTCAAGCTATCCCCCTGGGTAAAGTGCAGTGGCATCACAGCTCACAGCAACCTCCAACTCCTGGGGACAAGCGAGTCTCCTGCCTCAGCCTCCCGAGTAGCTGGGACCACACCCACCCGCCACAACACCCGGCTACTTTTTGGTTGCAGCCGTCATTGTTGTTTGGTGGGCTGGGCTGGATTCAAACCCGCCACCTTGGGTGTACGTGGCTGGAGCCTTAGCCACTTGAGCCACAGGTCCCAAGCCTAGTTGGCAGTTTCTTAAAAAGAAACATTCACCTATCATATGACCAGATATTACCCTTTAGGTATTCAAGAGTAACAAAAGCAAGGCTGAGGCAGATGGATTGGCTGAGCTCAGGAATTCGAGACCGATGTGAGCAAGAGTGAGACTCCCTATCTCTAAAAACAGCTGGGTAAGGGTTGTGGAGGGTGCCTGTAGTCCCAGGTACTTGGGAGGCTAAGGTGAGAGGATTGCTTGAGCTCAGGAGTTTGAGGTTGCTGTGGGCTATGACGCCACCATACTCTACTAAAGGCAACAAAATGAGACTGTCTTAAAAAAAAAGTAACAAAAGCATATGCCCATACAAAGATTTGTATACAATATTCATAGAAGCTATCTTTGTAAGAGTCAAAAAATGGAAACAACCCAAATGTCCATCAAAAAGTGACAGGATAAACACACTGTGGTCTACCCATATAATGAAATATCAGTCAGTAGTAAAAAATGAATAAATTATTGATACAAGCAACAACATGGATAAATCTCAAAATGAATGTGTTAAATGAAAAATGCCCGGCATACAGATTACATTCTATATGACTCCGTTTATATACAAATCTAGAAAATACTAACTAATTGATAGTGACAAAAAGCAGATCACAGTGGCCTGAGTGTGAGGATTACAAAAGGTATAAAGGGTCAAAAGAAAACATCTGGGGTGACAGATACATAATTACCATGATTGTGGTGATTTCATAGGTGTAGATATACGTCAAAACTCATCAAATTGCACATTCACATTTGTGCATTAATTATATGTCAATTATACCTCACCAAAGATGGGGGATAACATGAGATGGAGCTGGGTGCAGTGGTTTATATCTGTAATCCCAGAGGGAGGCTGGGGCAGGAAGACTGCTTGAGCCTACAAGTTCGAGGTTGCAGGGGGCTATGATTACACCACTGTACTCCATCCATACAGAGTACGAGTGAAATAGTTACAGGACCAAGAGGGTCTGGCCACCTGTCACCGTCAGCCAAACAGAGACTGGGATTAGATCCAACAAGCTTTACTATCAGAGACCCAGCAATCCAGAGAACAGCATGGGCTATCTCTCTAATTCTGTTCTGCCCTTCCATTTCCAAAATCATAGTTTTATAACTAAAATTTCAATAATTTTAATAATAACAATATTGTTATTTTTATAATAAAGAATAATCAGCATAACCCATGACCTATAATGAATAATAATCAATATAACCCATGACCTATAACAACATTTCCAATTCAAAAGTTAATCTTCTAAATCAATCGTCCTAAACTGTTCAAGATAATGCAACTTTACATTGGAGCTAAATTTACAAAACAATAAGAATGGAAAATATGAGGTGAAGGTCATGCAGGACCCAAACCGACCAGACCAGCTGTGGTGTGTTGGCCCTAGCCTGACAAGCTCCATCTTATATGTGCTCTCAAGATGCCCCCTCCAAACAAAACAACCCCAAAGCCCAGGAGTTTGAGGATGCTGTGAGCTATAACACCACGGCACAAGAATTCTCTTTGACATGAATGTAAGTAAAAGCTAACTATGACTCAAAATCTATGGGCAAGTAAAGAAGAGATTAAATAAAATTGATTAGAGTTGGGCATGGGAGCTCAGGCCTATTATATTCACACTCTGGGAGTCTGAGGCAGGAGGATCCCTTGAGCTCAGGAGTTTGAGACCAGCCTGAGCAAGGCCAAGACCTTGTCACTAATAAAAATGGAAAATTAGCCAGGTGTCATGGCAAATGCCTATGGTCCAAGCTACTTAGGAGGCTGAGGCAAGAGGATCATTTGAACCCAGGAGTTTGAGGTTGCTGTGAGCTAGCCACAGCACTCCAGCCTGGACAACAGAGTAAGACTCTCTCTCATCAATATTAGAAGAAATAAAACTGACTACATGAAAAAAATTTTGCATTGCAAAGAACACCAAAAATAATATAAAAATATCAACAAAGTAGGAGAAAATATTTACATATATCATAGATCAAGGGCCAATATCCCCAATATATAAAGAACTCTTAAAAATTAAGGGTTAGTTTGGGTGCTGGGGCTCAGCCTATAATCCTAGCAATTTAGGAGGCTGAGTCAGAAGGATCACTTGAGCCCAGGAATTCAAGGTTGTGGTAAGTTATGATCATGCCTCTATACTCCAGCCTGTGAGACAGGGTAAAACTCTGTCCCTAAAAATAATAATAATGATAAAACCCAGATGGGTTACAAGGTCAAATACTAAACCACAACATGTTGAAATATCTACTTATCTTACTTGATGAACTTTATTGCTCATTGCTTGCTGCCTATGCCCTAGCAGCTCATCCTACACAAAATCCTTCTTCTCATGTAAAACGTGTTACATATTGTGTATATATTTGTATGCATATTTACATGGTCAGTTTCTAAGAAAGAACTGCTCTCTTCTCTCCCCTCCTGGTCAAAATTCTGCCCAGCTCTACACTCTCTTAGCTCTGCAACTTCACCCTGGCCCCTCGTGGTGACCAATCTCTGTGGCTGCAACCTATGGCCCACACAGGAACTGACCACTGTCCAGGGCCAGTACCTGATGGTGGAACAGCTCACACTGGACTTTCAGTATGTTATTGATGAAGTCATCTGCCATGATGCCACCTGGGGCCCCCAGTTCTGCGCTTTCAGTGATTATGACATAGTTGTTCTCAAGGTCTGCCCAGAAATTAACCAGGCCCTCATCAACATTGGCCTACTGCTCCTAGTATTCCCATCTCCCACTGAAGAGGGCCAGCTCGGACAAACAACCTCTCATACCAGCCTGAACCTCAACACAGGCATCTTTGGGACAGTCAGCATGGGTGACCACTGAGTTCAAAGAGCAGACAAGAGGCAGTGTGGACATGGTCATGAAGTGGCTGGTGCCTGAAAGCAGCGGCCCATACCTCTATAGGATAACCAATGAGGCCCTGAACAAAGGGTGCTCACTAAAGGTTCTGGTGGACAGCTAGCCATATACGTGGCTTGTGCTGTGAGGGTCTGGCCACGCTGGACACTGACTCCAACTACCTCTGTGGCCTGGGAGCTGGCCACCACCCTGAGCTGGCCTCTTCTGGGCTGGCTGACTGATGACCAGCGCCAGTGTCAGGCCGTGGGAAGCGGGCTGGGCCAGGCAGCCCCTGGTGGCCTGCGAGTCTCGAGTCTCGAGGCTTTTTATTTATGCCTATTTAAGTTGGGAAGGGGTAGAGGGAGGGAGCCCTCTGCCCCACCAGCCTCTAGCGCCTGACCTTCTCCCGGACCTGGGCATAGGCCCTGGTTCCTTGTACATTTGCCCCTTTCCTTGGTTACAGATGTGGACATTGCGCTTGGGGAGGCCAAATGGACCCTGTTCCTCCTCTACCCAGCCGGCTCCTGCCCCCAAGTGGCCATCCCCAATTCCTTCCTCTTCATGTAATAAATGTTCAATTTCTGAAAAAAACAAAAACAAAAAAAGGGAGGGGGGAACCCAGCCATGTGTCTACTGGCCTGTAGCTCTTGACACCCCGGCCCGGGGGCCTTCTCACATACCCAAGTGCAAGAGTTCCTTCACGATGGCCTTTCCTATGCCCGTGGCCCCGCCGGTGACGATAGCCACTTGGTCATGCAGCAAGCTGGCCGCCAGGCAACTACTGCCCTTAGTCCAGAGGGCCATCGAGGCTCCAGAGAGAGAATGAGCCTCTCCGGCGCAGGTCAGTCTAAGTTACTCCCAGCCCAGCGGCGGGCAGGTTAAGCTCTCACGCACCCACGTGACGGCCGGGCCCGGGCCCCGCCCCGCGCAACTTGGCCCCGCCCCGGTCCCACCCCGGTCCCGCCCACAGACTCCGCAGCTCGGCATCCTCCAGGGGCAGGACCGCTCTCCCCAGGCTGCTCCCTGGCAGTCTGCGTCTTCCGCCTGCATTCGTCCCCTGGCACGTGTAGGTGAGACTCCTCGTTTTCCTTCTTTTTTTTATTTCGATGCCATTGAGAGGGAGAAAGGGAAATGCAAAAAAAGGAGAAAAAAGCAGGGTGTGCTCTATTTTGAAAAAATTCAATCCTCAGTGCTTCCGCTCTTGTGGTTAATTAAAATTAAATCTCCAGTGCATCTGGAAAAAGAAAGGCTGCAGCGCCGCGCCCTCGCCGCGCGCGCCCGCCCGCCTGCGTCGGGTGTCAGGGGATGCTGGAGCTCCATCATCAGCTGTGTGCCGCCGGCTGAGAAGGGGAGAAGGGGCAAGCTTAGCTGAGGGGAAGAACTCAGGATTCCACACCCTTTCATACCCTGGGAGGGAGCCTGGGAAAGGGCGTGAGGGGGAAGAGGAGCCACAGTCGCGGTTATTCATAGAACCTCAGACGATTTAAAAAATAAACTTGGGCCCACCTCCACCTCCACCATCTCTTGCTCTTCACTCAAGACTAAAGGAGTGAACAACCTTTACCAGATTTGAGATCTGAGTCACTTCAACGGGCTACAAAACAGTACAGAAGAGGATCGTCTGTTAAAGGGTGCTTGCTTCCAGCAAGACACATGCATAGGGGTGTGCTTTTGAGATCTTGTCCTCTACTTCATTCCTTATGCAGGAGGACAAGCCTGCTGAGGATGGGGGAGATGTTTCATCCGGGGAAATGTCTCGTCCGTGCTTTGGTGCCCAGTATCGGTGATTTGTTATTCAGCTCTACTCCTTATTTTTCATGTTGCTTTACGCTGTCAACCCACCAGAGTGAGATTACACTTGTACTGGCCTAGAGAGACTTTACCTTAAGAATTTTGTGGAATGTGTCAGGTGCAGTGGTCCTATCGATGCAGCCAAATGCTATTTCTGAGCTTGTTGTCAGAGTGTTGTATTATTCCTTGCAGGGTATTAAAATAATGTAAATGCAGACAAATGCCATTATTCCTTTGTTGAGTCTACCACTTTGGATTCACAAAATGAATTGGAAATGGGTCTGGTTGAGAGTGAAATCAGACATCACTTCCTCCACCAGATCCCACCCACAGGGAAGGCTGACAACTGCCCTCCCCCATCCCTCCTTTCCCCTTCTCTGACCTCCATCTAGAAACACTTCTCCATCTGTGTTGCCTATAAACTCCAATCTACACTCATTAAAGAAAGGAAACAATCTCTTCTGGCTCCTGTTTATTAGCAGGTTTACTGACTTAAGTCAGTTATGTATTTATTGCTACATTTTAAAAACTTACAACGCTATCGCCTCCTTTTCAACAAAGTAAATTCAAATAGGAAAATTCAAAGCATTGTTGCAGAAAAATATAATTTCTGGTGGTTTGATCCCAATGACATAGTATTTTCTGTTAAACAGGAAAAGAAATATCAACTCAGTTCTGAGGGATAACTTATTCTAGCAAATTCCAGACTTTCTTCCTTAGGAGTGGGGATACTTTAAGCTTCCTTTAAAGATGATTTTATCGAAAGTATAATTTAACAGCTCGGCGCCTGTGGCTAAAGTGGCTAAGGCGCCAGCCACATACCTAAGGTGGCAGGTTCGAATCCAGCCTGGGCCTGCCAAACAACAATGATGGCTGCAACCAAAAAATGGCCAGGCATTGTGGCAGGCACCTGTGGTTCCAGCTACTTGGGAGACAGAGGCAGGAGACTCGCTTGAGCCCAGGGGTTGGAGGTTGCTGTGAGCTGTGATGCCACAGCACTTTACCCAGGGGGACAGCTTGAGGCTCTGTCTCAAAAAAAAAAAAAATATATATATATATATATATATAATTTAACATTTTTCGTAACCTGCTCTGGACCCCTAGACTCTCAGATATGTGTCGGGGGGTGGGTTTCATTGGGGGCCTGGCTGTACTGAAGCTTGTGTGTGGCTCCTGAGTGGACTGAGAGGGGTTCTCTGATGTCTTGCAGTAAAAAGGTGACTGGGGTGGAGAGCCAGTTATGCCCACTGAGGATGACAAGGGCCATTCCTCAGCTTTAAGGAAATTGTAGGATGAGCAGTCAGAAAGCTCTTTTCCACCACAATCCAGGTAGAACCTATGAGAGATGTGGTTCTACCACAGGTTTCAAGGCATCTTTTGTTAAAAATAAGGCGGTGTGGTCTCTTTGCCTCTGCCTTTAACCTCAATTAGTGTATGAAAGACTGCAAACCCCAGGCCTTAGTAGTAGTTCTGCTGCACACAGGCTCTCTGTTTTCAGATTTTAATTCTGGCCTCCAGAGGAGGCACCCCTTCCCTGGGCAACCGCGCCATATTGTGTTGACCACTCCTTTGGCTGAATCAAATGCTGCCTTTCCTTGTGCTTGCATCACTGCCCCTTTTGTCCTGGGGAAAAAGGCATCACTGTGAATGTGTTCCTTCCCCACATACCCCATCATACTCCATCAGCAATGACTCCTTCCCTCTGTCTTCTGAGATCTTGCTGCTTACCCGTCTTCCCACCCCTCCCCCGCCCCCATCTGCCTGGCAACTTTATTTTCTTCCCTCTGCAAAGCAGCTGCTGGCTCAGACAGACAGGGGCTCGTGGGATTCTCGACATGTAGACTCTCAGGATCTCATGCTGAAGGAATGGCAGTGAGGTGTCTGGTGTCTCCCCAAGCTTGAAGCAAGATCACTCCTGAGCCAGTTCACATGAATGAGGCTCTTAACCAGTTCATGACATCCAGCCAGCGTTTACTGAGCACCTGCCACATGCCAGGTAGTAGATACGGTGCAGTCAACCAAACAGGTCCCCCCGCCCTGTGCAGTTTGTATTCTGGCGTGTAGTAGGTATGTTGAGAGTGGGAGTGGAGGTGGAAGGGGTTTGTGTGCCACCAGAGGTAGGACAGTAAGCAAACAAAATATCAGGCATCAACGGTCTCACGATTTTGTCAATAAGATGCTCAAGCTCCTTGTAACCAACTAGCCTGGCTGCCAGGAACTATATTTCCTCTGGAGGTGGATGCTACCTGAATAATGAACCTGCCTCAGTGTGAGCTTTTCAGGAACCACATAGATTAGGCAAGGGTGAGAAAAATGCTGCTCACAAGATTGCTAAGAAACAGGCTACAGCCTGACTCTGCCCATGGCCAATCCTCAGCCACTGGCTGGAGGCTGGACGTTTCTACATGTTCTGTTGTAGTTCTAGTCACTTAACATTGGTCTGAGCCAAATTCCTTTCCTTCTTATGAGAGGGGAAAATGATGATTTTCAGTCATCAAATGTTAAACATTTTATTTCCTAGTTGGTGGTAAATTTATTGGGGTAAACCAAGATGTAACTGGGGGAGTCTGGCCCACCTGGACAGGTCTCCCTTTGAGTGACCGATACACAAATCACAGAAGAGTTGAAAGAACAGCAGGACTGGGGAAAAGCACAGTTCACTATACTGGTAGTAGAAGTAGTAGTAAATAAACTTAGAAATGGTAATACTCCACCCTCACAGTGACAGTAGTTTAGGCTCAGTATGGTAGAGGTACAAAATGCCAGATCCTAATGTTCTTAAGCCAATGGAGTAGGCACACTCTGATTTGGGGGCTTTGTCAGCCAAAGGTTGCAAAATACAGCCCATTGTGTTTTTTATTTTTTTGAGATAGAGCCTCATTATGTTTCCCTTGGTAGAGTGCTGTGGTGTCACCACACCTCACAGCAACCTCAGACTCTTGGGCTTAAGTAAGTCTCTTGCTTCAGCCTCCCAAGTAACTCGGACTACAGGCACCCACCACAAGGCCCAGCTATTGTCTTGTTGAGGTTGTCATTGTTGTTTAGCTGGCTTGGGCCAGGTTTTAATCTGCCAGCCTCGGTGTATGTGGCCACACCACTGTTCTACGAGCACTAAGCCACCTGTTGTGTTTTGTTTTGGCTGTTTGTCCACATAGTAATATATTTAAATTTGGACTAATCTTAACAATTGAAATTAGAAACTTTCATATGAAATTTCAGATATCTAATCCCATTTAGGGCCTGGCTTCCTGTAAGCCGGAAATTGGCTTGGTGTGTGGAAGAGAGGACAATAGTAGCTTTCTGTAGTAGAACCTCTATAGCTAACCTGCCACATCAACCACCTTCTTAAGTTGACCTAATTTTCGTAGGCCAGACATGCACCACATGTATGTGTCAGTATAGTAGGCCTAGTTCCTTATGTTGACCACCTCCATGTGTTGACCAGTTTGTTACAGTCCCTTGGGTGGTCAATGTATAGAGGTTCTACTATACTTAGATGAGACTGGAGCTCTTTGTTTGCTGTAGTTCTCACCACTTCTTATTGTGTCTAATTGCTAAAGCTTGGTGTCAGTGCCCTTTATCAGCTTATTCCAGCCATACTTTATATATGTATGTTACTTGCTTCCCTATAACAAACATAAGAGCAGAGGCCTCCAAGCTTCCTGGCTTCTCCACCTACCAAGTCCCAAAATTCTGCTCAGTATCTGGATGGATTTGGAGAAGGCAGTGCATCAGGTCTGATCCCATGGTCACCTGGGAGGTTAGTGACTGGTTGACTAATTGGATGAGAACTGGCCAGTGGGGAGTAACAGCCAGATTCCCCATTGATGATTCATCCCTACAGAGATGCTATAGGTGGGCAGGTACGCTCGTTTGAGGGTGTTATTTGTCTTGGATTTTTACTGAATGCCTAAGAACTGTTGGTTTCCTTTAACATGACTTGCTTTGGGTACATTGTTGGCAGTGTCTTTACAAATAGAGAATGGGATCATATACTGTTTTAAGCTTGAGCCAGTAACGCCTGAGTTTCAGAATTCCTAGTCTATCCAGGAGATTCGAAATGGCCTGAACCATCCATTATTAGGGATGAGGCCGTTTTATGTCCTAACTCCCAAATACATATCAAGGTCTGCGTATGCCCCAGGCTGACAAATTGTAACATAGCAGAGAGGTTGAGATATCAAATAACCCTTGATAATTTCAGTATATTAGTCGGGATTTCTGTGTGGCTACCTTAAGAGATTAAAATAATCAAGGATTGGCTTGGCGCCTATAGCTCAACCGGCTAAGGC